GAACTCTCTTCATCAGATCGCTATTCTGATCTCACTGATGACTCTTCATTGTTAGTCCAGGCCATGGAGCTCTCAGGCCCAAGGTGAAATTTTTCTAGTCTTTCTTAGTTTTAGTTTATTATTTGGTTTTCTAGTTTTCTAAAGAAAGCATATGAAACTGTAGACATAAGACAATCGAATCCATTTACAAAACCCCTGATGAAGATTATATGTTGTATGATATAGAAGCCTTCAAAGATGAAAAAGGCATTTTTCTTCTTTTGTCAAATGTACAGATACTTATTTGTTGAACATTTATTTGTAATGCAAACTTCTGTAAAATTAAAACATCTTCGTGTGTTTGTAAGAATAGTAATCTTACTTGCCTTCTTTTGTCATTTTACATTTTCTTTTCTTTGTTTCACTCTGTAATTTTAATTGACGGTTTGGTTTTATTCAATTTATTTTAAGTGCCAGCATCAATGGAAATTAAAGTAAACATAAACAGTTGAAAAATATTAGTAAGTACTAGTGTGTGTTTTAATTGATTATGAAAAAGGTATTACAATTACTGATCATATTTGTAATTTATTAATATCATAACTAATTATAAATATAAATTTTAATTTAGATGTGTTATGTAAATATTCTAAAATAATTTACTGTGTTTGAATTAATTCAAAATCACCATTTTAATAAAGTTATAAAAATGTATGAAATTATTTATAGTAATTAATTTTTGTATTTAAAATAAGAATATATTATATTTTAGCCAATTGTTAATTAGCTTAAAAACACTTTTATCTCCCTAGATTTCAATTTGATATTTTACTTCCTTACACCTAGCTTTTTCAAAACTACATTATAACCTTACTATATTTTTCGTCTAAACTTTTAATGATAAATTTACATTCAGGGCTGTGGCTCCGTTTTAAGGCCCAATCAATTTTAAACATTAAAAAGTATTATTAATTAAAATTTTTATATTATATTTTTATTAATTTGATAATAAGACCATATAATTTTTTAATATATGTTTAAGAATATATAATAAAATTTCATTGGAAAGCGTTATCACGAAATATATACATTACATTAAATAATTTAATATTTTCTTTGACAATAACAAGTGATATAAGTATTATTTATCAAGAAATTTTTTTACAATTCCTTAATTATAAAATTATATTCAATTATATTACATTAATTTTTTATAATAAATTTTCATAATGTTTAAAAAATTCTAAACACGACGCTATACATTAAAAATGGTTAATTGTTATTTATTCGATCATCGTTTAATTTTTAATTACTGTTTAATAATACTTTTAATTTTTAATGTACTGACTTCCAAAATTATATAAAATTTATTATAGTATCATATATTACATGCGTGTAATAATATTACATCTTTTTTAATTTATTCAAATTTATATTATTTTTTTTATCCTTTATTAGTTCACTAAGTTTTGAATAGTTTTTATAATTTAAAATTAATATTAAAAATTTCTATTCATTTAAATATATTACACACTAAGAGTGTAGGACAAAAAAAAGTCAAATTTGACAAAGTGAATAATAGCTTTGAGATCATGACTTTATAAAAATAATTGATTATTAATTATTAAAAATAAAAATTGTCAAGAAAATAATGGCTTACTTGTAATCACATTTTCCCTATTTAACAAATAATTGAAGTTCTTTTATTGTATTACTTTCATAATTATTTCATTAATTCCTATTCACACACACTTATTGGTGGACCAATGAGGGAAAAGCCCAAAACAAATCACATAACTACATGCCTCTCTTAAATACAAAAGAGATTACTTCATATGGTAAAGGGAAATTAAAGAAATCAGGAGCTTCATAAAAATTCTAACACCTCTGTCCATTGAAAAATCAAACTTTGCAAAAGAGTCAACTATAAAGTTTTTTTTTTCCATGAAAAATGTGGAGCCATCTGAAATTTAAAGGTGGCTTTTTAATAAAAAAAATAAAAAAACATATATATATATATATATATATATATATATATATTGTTCAATTTTACGAAGTTATATCTAGTTAGATTAAAATAAAATAAAAATGAGCTTACATAATTTTTTAATCAATGTTTTTTTTCCTTTTAATCCTTGTCTATTGTTTTCAGTCTTTATTTCCTTTTACCTTTTACTTTTAATTCCTATCGATTGTTTTTAATTTTTTTATTCCTATTGTTATAACATATTATAGAAAAATAAGACACTGAAAATAAAAAAAATAAAGACTAAAATCAAAATAAAATACCAGGAACTAAAAATAATAAAATAAAAAATCTACAAAGTTATGTGTGAGCCTAAATAATTGTATTTTCTTCAACAAATTCTATCAAGTAACGGCATTTTACACTTACTGGACAATATAGATAAGGTGAACCTACCTAATATTAAATTTTAATTTATATTTAAACTAGGCAAAGTGTCCAGTGCAGTTGTACCTGTTACAATTTTACTAAAAAAATTCCATATATTTTTCTGCTAAAAAAATTACAATACTACCATTAGGCATTAAAAAATATTATCATAATTACTTTGTCCAATTTTTATATATATAAGTTCAAATATAATATTCAAACTTAAATGGATTGATTCGGTAAGATACATGTTAACATTTTCTTAATCGGTTATATTCGATTTGATAAAATACAATAATATATAAATTTATTTGAAAAAATTGGAAATGAGATAACACATGTAAAAGATATCAAATGAGATGGTGCTCCTCGATTTCACCATTCTCTTTACTTTTTTAAAGATAATATCTAAAATATGACAGGTAATTAATTTCTGTTATAACATCTTAGCTCTATGACAGCAAGCAACTCAGAAAGAGGTAACAAAGTCCCAAATTTATTATTAAGTATTATAAAGTAACTTATAATTTTTTTCAGGATTTTATATTCGTTATTCTTCTCTATCATTGTTGCTTCAACCTTTACGATCTCACTCTTAAACTCAATTGCAATGTTTACTTTGTCCTTTATGACATTGTTACTAACCCAAATCTAAAGAGTTAATCATCATCATTGGTGGGTTTTCCTCCTTCGCCTGTGAGTTCATCCCAAAAAATAACTGTATTGGATAGGACATTTAGGTTATTAATAAAGAAAAAAAAAACTCAACACTCCTTCGACCACACTTGATTATGGATATTTACGCTATTTTTTAGAGTATTTAATGAAGATTAATAATCAATAATAAAAAGAAAGAAGGTTAATTATATAATCAAGAAGATAAAAATAAGATTGGGTCATAAAAGTCTAATAACCTAATATTTTGTCTATAAAAAGAAAAATAAGAAATACAATAAGTGATGAATTGATAAGTATTAAATAACATTTATTACTTAAACCTACACCTGATTTGGTCATTGGAGTATTTTTTGTAGATACTCTCCCCACATCACATAAAAGAATGATCTAAAATATCTAAAGAGATATCATGTTACAAGACAAAAAAAAAGATGACTGAAAATCAATATATCTTTAATATGAACATAATGTATTCTTCAGACTCATGCATAAATTTTAATCTTGATAAAAACTCTCACAAGCAAACTATTATCATTTAAACCCATTTGATTATTTGCACAAATTTTTAAACTAAAAATAGAGCTAACTAATAATTTAATAGTTAGAATCGACCTAAGAATTAAAATTGTCAATTACTATTACCTACTTCTACTTTAAAAAAAACATGAAAAGAACTAAAACTTAAACTCATTTTTATAAATAACGAATGACAATTTTTTATTTGGTGGAACATGCAAATATTGAAAGTCTAATTAGAAAAAAAAAGAGACAAGTGTTATTAAGTTTCTTGATGAATATTTTTAAACAGAATAAAAAGAATATATAGGATACATAAAAATATCTAGAAGATAAAAAAATATTCTTATATTATTAATTAATATATTGAATATCAAGATAATAAGCATTCTACCTAAAAAATATTAGTCATTTAATACACATGAAAGAGTTATATATATATATATATCACTAATAAATTTTACATAAAAATAATATAATAAGTCTTACTAATATTTTTTTTTATATTTTTCTATAGATAACATTTTCATGTCAACGATTATCATAAAAAAGTTATAATTTAATTTAAAATATATTAAAAAATATCATATAAGTAATATGATATAATTATGAGATAAATGAATCTTTAAGATTTATTTATAATTTTTTTAAATATAAAAGAGCAAGTAATATATACCACACATTCTAATAAAATAAATATCACACAAGACATTATTGTTTCTTTGAATATTTTTATCTCTTCTTCTATTAAAATATGATAGTAAAATTTTAAAATATAAAATATAAGATACAACTTTAACTTTTGTGAAGAAGCTACTTTTTTTATATGGTTTTTATTTTTAAAAATACAAAAAATATGATATTTTTTGTAAAATTATAGGAATATGAAGTTTTTTATGCAGTACAAATATTAAGAGATAAAAAAATAAATTTTCAAAAGTTATGAATGACGATTTTTAAAAAAAATATTAAAAAAGTAAAAGTAGCCAATGATGGTTTTTAAAAAAATAATTAAATATTTAAAAAGTGTATCAACGCCAATGATGATTTTTAAAAAAAAATCATATTTCTGTAATTTTACAAAAAATTTCATATTTTTTAATTTTTAAAAAAAACTCATATATATAAAAATGTTCCTTGTGAAGTAGGTAATGTATAACTCCCTTCATATTAAGTTTAACTAAATTATTTGAAATACAATGTTAGAAAAGAATAATTGATGTTGCAAAATAAAATTTACAATGATTATTTTCTTAGTGTTTTTATTATAAAACGAGATATGTAAACATTTTTAATTTAACTTTCATTGCCTATCTCCCGCCCAGTTCATAAAACACAAACCCCATTTGGCGCCCAAAACGATTCAGCCTCAGATTCAGATTTATCCACCCCACCCTTCTCTCATTCCCCTGAACCCGACTCAAAAGCTACCATGAAGGTTCGATCGTTGAAGCTGAGGGAGGCCCACGCCAACAAGGGTGGTCGTCGATCCTTCTGCTCCATCTTGTGGGACCAGCAAGCCCGGCATCTGGTCACCGCCTCCTCTTCCGACGTCTCCATCTCCATTCACGACCCTCTTCTCCCCTCCGCCACTCCCAAAATCCTCCGTCACCACCGTGACGCTGTCACCTCCTTGGCTCTTAGCCCGAACTCCACTTGCCTCGCTTCCGGTTCCGTCGATCACTCCGTCAAACTCTACAAGTTTCCCGGTACTCAATTCTTTTTACTTTATTTGTTACTTGTGAGTATGATTTGCATTTTGGCCTGGTACTTTGCCAATTTAATAACTCAACTTAATGGTGTTTTTTGTAATTGTTGTTTAAAATTTTGAGACGCGCATGTTTCAATTTGAGCGATTTTAAATTGATCCTTGGCAGGAGGGGAATTCGAGACAAATATTACGAGGTTTACGCTTCCAATTCGTTCTCTAGCGTTTAACAAATCAGGGAGCATGCTAGCTGCAGCTGGTGATGACGAGGGCATCAAGCTGATTAACACAGTTGATGGTTCTATTGCGAGGGTTCTGAAAGGGCACAAAGGGTCCGTCAGTGGCTTAGCATTCGACCCCAATGGAGAATACTTAGCCTCTCTGGATTCAACTGGAACTGCTATTTTCTGGGAGCTTCATTCTGGGAGAATCGTTCATAATCTCAAAGGCGTAGCTCCTGACACAGGGGTAGACGTTTCCACTATGAATGTTCTTTGCTGGAGTCCTGATGGCGAGACCTTGGCGGTTCCCGGGTTGAGAAATGATGTGGTGATGTATGATAGGGACACTGCTGAAAAGTTGTTTTCTTTGAGAGGTGATCATGTAGAACCTATTTGTTTCTTGTGTTGGTCACCCAATGGGAAGTACATTGCTACATCAAGTTTGGACAAGCAGGTTCTGATCTGGGATGTTAGTAGGAAGCAGGACATTGATAGGCAGAAATTTGATGAGAGAGTTTGTTGCATGGCTTGGAAGCCAATTGGGAATGCCTTGGCTGTTATGGATGTTATGGGGAAGTATGGTGTTTGGGAGAATGTTATTCCTTCGTCGATGAAGTCTCCAACTGAGGATATTCCTGTGCAATATAAAAGTAATGGGCTTCTTTTGTTTGATGAGGAGGATCCTGAAAACAGTGCTGCGAGTGGAAGCTTGAGTGATATTGGTGAAAATAGTAATGTGGAGTCTGAGCCACTGAGCAGGAAGAGATTGCGTAAACAGTCTCTGAGTGAGGATAATTTTGATGAGGATGGAGGTGAGGAAATTGGTTTGTATCCTAAGGTTGAGTCTCACACGAAAAGAAATCGTTCAAACAAAGAAAATTTGGATAGTGGAAATGTGAGGTTTAGGAGCAACATGGTAACTTGCAAGCCAAAGATGCAGGAGACATTTCAACCAGGATCAACCCCTGTGCAGCCTGGGAAAAGGCGTTTCTTATGCTACAATATGTTTGGATGTGTGACCTCTATTGAACATGATGGATACTGCCATATTGAGGTAATGTAGTGCATAGGAACTAGAGATAGTTTAACTATTTGTTAAATCATCACTTTTAGCATAAATTAATGAGTTGGAATGTCTTTGTTTACAGATTGATTTTCATGATACCGGAAGCACTCCACGAGTTCCTTCAATGACAGATCATTTTGGATTTTCAATGGCGGCATTAAATGAGAATGGAAGTGTCTTTGCAAATCCTTGCAAGGGGGAGAAGAACATGAGCACCCTCATGTATCGTCCATTTAGTAGCTGGGCTAGTAATAGTGAGGTCAGATTAAAGTGCTTATCCTTTGTTAAGAAAAAAACATTGCTTTTAAGGACAGACAACATTTCAGTTCTTTTGGTTGTGAAAATTCACCGGATGCTCACTGTGTTTAAAAATTGGCAGTGGTCTATGCGCTTTGAGGGAGAAGAAGTAAAGGTTGTTGCACTTGGTGCTGCTTGGGTGGCCGCAGTAACTAGTTTTAATTATCTTCGCATCTTTTCTGAGGGTGGTTTGCAGGTTTGTAGCACATAGCTCATTTACATGTTTTTTCATTTTCACTAACTGAATACTGAAGGCATGGCACTTTCCTATACGTGGAATAAGTATGGGTTTAAAAGGTAGATGATTGTGTACGTCCTAGCCTTTCATTAATCTTTTAGACGTTTTTTTGTCTTAACTCTTAAAGCGTGTAACAAAGAATCCGGGGTTGATGGTATTTATCCGGAAGCATTTAAACACTTTTGAATATTTTACATTGCAGAGACATGTGATTTCGCTTGATGGGCCAGTGGTGACTGCATCTGGTTTCAAGGATCAGCTTGCAGTTGTCACTCATGCTTCTGATTGCCTTTCCTCGGGTGATCAGGTTGGTTCAGTCTTCATGCTTAGCTGTTGCTTGAGATTGGCAGGTCCTATGTGGTTTAATTTAGTGTTTAGTTTCTGACCTTTCTGAAAATGTTAACTCGGAGAGCATAATCATCTGGTAATAAAAACATTGTAACTTTATGAACTGATGCTATTTTTTCATGACTAAATAATATGTTTGTTCTTAAACGTGCAGATGCTAGAGTTTAGATTGTTTAACGTACCTCATGGGACCCAACCCCTTCGAGGTCGCTTGCCATTGACTCCAGGTTCATTTCTAAGTTGGTTTGGATTTAGTGAAGAAGGCCAGTTGTGTTCATACGATTCGAAGGTATCCATTGTGTTTACAATTAAATGATATTTGGTATTTTTTTTTCTCTCGTTATGAATAAATCTGGTTATACAGGCTGATTTAGTAAGTATAATACGTAGGGTGTGCTAAGATCATATACAAGCCAATTTGGGGGTAGCTGGCTCCCACTCTTCAGGTTCAATATTCATTTTACTATGTGCACTGGTTTAACGTGCGTAATATTTTTCTTTTATGTCCGACCTTCCTTGGTGATTTGTCTTAAAATTTCAATGCAGTGCTATTAAAGAGAAGAAGTCAGATGAAAACTATTGGGTAGCGGGGTTGAATGCAAGCAAGTTATTTTGTGTGGTATGCAAAAAGCCTGACGCCTTCCCTCAGGTATGACCAAGACATTTTTAATTTGTTTCGCTTTTCTCCCTCTGTCTTATGGCTAATCGATTGATATTCACTTGCTTATCAGGTGATACCTAAACCAGTTCTTACTCCCCTGAGTCTATCATTTCCTCTTGCTTCCTCTGATTTGGGATTTGAGGCTCATGAAAACGAGTTTATGATGAACAGCATGCATCTATTTGAGGTATGTTCTTGAACCCACCCATTTCAAATTTAATAATCATTATCAATGTATCTTCCATCGAGCCTGCTATAAGTCTTGATGCACGTCTATCTAGTTCAGCATAGGGACTACAGTTTTGTTTTCTGTTAAGATATCCTACATTGACTCGGAATAAAGTTAAAATGCTCCTTATAAGGTTCGTATATCCCTCCTCCTTTGAGTTATCCACCTTTCAGCCCTGCAAACATCACACACTAATTCTTGGGAGTGACTTAGACAGGCCTAGTTTTTTAATTTGTGTCGAGTTGTTTTTATCATTGTTGTCAAACACTGATGCAAACCGAAAAGCAAGTATTATTGAATACCCATAAGAAAAGGGTGAGTACACATAACCTGTATGACTCATACAGAAATCATCCCAATAGATACTCGAATTTTGATCCCTGTAACACAATGCAACAACTTACTTTTTTCCAGTGCTCCCACACACACGCCTCTCACTGTCATAATGCCCCTTCTGACTAATGCATTCAATTTTCTTTCTGCCCCCTTGCTCTTTTTCTTTCTCATATACATCCTCCACACTTTGGGCCTCTCAACAGGATGCAGCAACTGTAACTGATTCCCATCCCTTAGCCTGTCACTTGGGCCAACAGCCCCAACAAACACCTGAATTAGTTATATGTTACATGCAGATTCAGAGACGAATGGAGCAAATGGCTTCTGCCGGTCTGGACACTAGTGCACTTGATGATGATGCTTTCAATTTGGAAGCAGCACAAGATAAATGCATACTGAGGCTTATAGCATCCTGCTGCAACAGTGAGTTCCTATGCGTCTGTTTTCTCTCTCCCTCTCTCCATTTAGTACAACCTGAATTGTAACAGTGAAAAGTAATCATTCATGCCTCACACGTGTGGATATTTCAGGTGATAAGCTTGAGCGAGCTACTGAACTTGTGAAGCTTTTGTCACTGGAAAAATCAATGAGAGGTGCAATAAAACTCGTTACTGCTCTGAAGCTTCCAAACTTGGCCGAAAGGTTCAGCAGCATATTGGAGGTAAGCCTCTTAAGTATTAACAAAGTAAAGACAAAACACATCAATTCACTGTCATCTTTACCTCTTGTAATTCCTGTGTAAAACAGGAAAGGCTGCTTCTTGAAGCGAAAAAGGCTACAGAAACCAACCTCAGAGAAAACTGTGTTGCACCTATTACAGCTGATGCTCAACATAGCGGGAACGGAGCCCCAACTCAGACTGAAACATCAAATGCAGTTACTGTGTTATCCTTTCCAAATTTATCTGCTCCATCATTCATTAAGAAAGACAAAACACAAGCGGAACCTAAAGCTGGAATAAATAAAACTCTGGCAGTAAATGAAACTGTGAAGGCAAATCAGACATGGAGTGAAAACAAGGGGGGGAAGGTGGCGGATATGCGTCAAATGCAAGCTCCTAATCCACTTGATTCCTCTATTAACTCGTCAAATAAGCACGCACTCAACAAGTCAGAGACTAGTTTGGCACAGCCAAATCGGCCTTCTAATCCATTTTTGAAGTCTTCTATCAAATGAAGAATTTTATCTTTCCTTGTGAAATTGAAAATACGATAGAGGTGTCTGGTAGTTCAGTGGAGATCAATTCTCGAAATAGGGTGTTTTACCGAAGGAAGGCTCGCTTCATATTTATGATGGATCAACTTGTAAAAGCGAAAAAAATCTAGAGAAAATGGGAATCTTTTGTATATTACCATAAAATCTCATTGTAATTCACCAGAAAAAAATCTTATGAAGTATTGTTTGAATTCAATATAAATTCTTAGGATTCTTTCGGTCGGCATGCATGGCAGCGTTTGTTTCTTAAGGCAATTACACAAGTGCGAGAAATGTTGAATTCTCAACTTTGGAATATCTCTTGAAGAGAGGAATTTTTTTTAAAAAAAGTCTCTCTCTCTCTCTCTCTCTCTCTCTCTATATATATATATATATATATATATATATATATAAATGCATGTTATTTCACTGTAGGTCGGAGAATTTGCGGATTGAAATAATAGGATATAGTATTTTTTTTATTATAATTTTATATCAACCAAATAGAAATAAAAGAAGGGGAAACATTGCTGCTTTGATGAGTTTTTGACAGATACTTGTATTAAAAACTTATTATTGAAGCTCTAATATTAAAAACAACTTTTAAAAGGTTAATTTTATGTTTGGATGACACTTATACAAGTATTTATTGAAAATGATAAGTTGTGTTAAAATAAAATTGTATAAATACTTTTAAATGATAGAATTATTAAATCATGTTTTTAGAAATTAATTTCAATATTGATAAGAAAGTCCAAAATAAGATGTTTAAATTATTTATAAAATATTAAAATATCTCATAAATCCATTTTTATATATTTAAAATATTAAAATATTTTTCTTATTTTTTATAAAAAATATTTATACATTTTCTAAATGATATATAAAAAAATAATATGGATTTGAACATTAAAATTATTAAAAACTAATTGTTAAGAAATTAACAAATTTGTTATCTTCAACAAAATAATAAGCTATAATATAAACATATATTTAAAGGTCTCATAAATTTAAAAATATGTAAATTATTTTCATAGAAAAAATATTCAGACATTATTTTTAAAAGAAAAATATAGAATTTCATTAATTTTGAAAATAATAAAATTATTAAAAAATTTAATTGTCATAATTTTAATATCCTATGCTCAATAATGGCTTAAAACATATAAAAAAAATATTTATTTATAATAATATCATTTATATAATTAATATTAATTATAAATTATCATCAACATAAATATGTCAAATACAAATGATTTCTTAGAAAAAAAATAAACATGTCTAGAAAATATTTTTAATAGATTCTCTAATTTATTTCACTTGCAAAACATTTTGAGCATTATATATTCCTCTCATGTACCAATGCTAAGATTAACTTCATTGTTCACTTCACCATTGTTTTTGTATTCATGACTTTTATAAAATGTTTCAAATTCTTCTGTCACATCTATAATTTCTTCTAATAATGTTATGTAAGGCTATGAAAGAAGTAATAGTTTTGTTTTTGTATCTCCCATGCAAAATGAAACATTACCCAATGTATTTTATCTTACTTTATTATGACCAAATGAACAATCAATCGTACCTCGGAAACTAGAGTGATAATAATTGAAAACTTCAACTCATACTCTTATTATAGAGCCATTTCTTAATTATGAAGGATGATACCTATTTTTCTTGAATGGCTCGAGAAAACCTACGGAAGCAGAGTAAGTGTATATATTTATAAATTGAAATATTATAACATGTCAGCAAGATGATATGAAAATATTATATATTTTGAGGAGGATACATGAAATGTAATGCAAGCCTGTGCAGAGCCTCTGTAAATATTTTGGTATCATGAGTATAACCCTCCCAACCTACCCAAACAAAGGTGAAGCTCACGTTAGAAATCATAGGTAGTCATGATATTAATGGTAGTATAACATTTCTTAAGATGTATCTATTTTTATTAGTTCCATCTCCATTTCCAGATTCGTTTGAGGAAAACATCAAAGTCTAATTTTTCCCTTTTATGACGTATATTAGAGTTAATTATATCTAAATAATCAACTAACTTTTTTATATAAAAACAATAATATCATATAATAGCAAATATTAGAGTAATTAACAAGTTATAGACCTTTTTAATCTCTCTTAGTTATTTAATAGATAATAAAAAAATTAATTAGGTCTATATAATAACTCTAAATACAAACATAATTCACATGACAGATAAACTGCCAACAACAATCATAAGTTATTTCTTAATCAACTTATCTCTTACTTCTTTGGTCCACATGGAGGAGAGTCATTATGCATACATAATATTTTTAAAGGATGCAAACTAAAGAAGAAGTGAGTATAAACATTTATAAATTATATTATAAGGCAATATTATTTGTTTAATGAATAAAAAGACATAACCAATAAATGAATCAATCAATTAAGTATTGAAATGCTTTTTTATCTATATTTTCTTCATGGAGTAATTAATTATCTATTACTTTTAAACTTTGGGTTGAAAATTGAGAGTTTTGTGTCCATAATTTGGCTAATGTTATTGGTACAACATCCTTCACTAGGACATAATTTTCAATGCATGTTTTCACAATTATAGCCACTTCCAACAATTCACACTCACCAATCATGAGATGCTCAAGCACTACTCATTAGTAGATACTTTAACTAATAACTTTTTGTCTCATGTTTGTACCTAACATTTTCAACCACTTTTATTGTGAAATTAATTCACAATCATGATATTAATCACAATAATTTAAAGCTTTCACTTAGTCCATTTGGTACAAGTTTAATATGATCACACATCCCTTAAATAAGAGAACAAATGATCACTATGGACATGAAATGCTATGTTTCCTCTCTTTTGTTCATGAAATATCATTCTCATAACCCAATTTATTAAAAAATTTATAATTAATTCATCAAAACTCCAAAAATATGAAATCAATGAAATTATATTCCTCTAAGTGTCTATTATCATGAAAAAAATAATAACATAGATCATACATTTACAGATTTCAATTCGATTCATAATTTTTGTCTGCAAGTTGTCATATTTCAATAACAAATTCTTACTAAAAATCATAACTTATTTATTTTAAATCTAAAAGTTCTAAAATTAGTGAAGATATTCTCCTATATATATATATATACTTTTAAATAAAAAAACCTGTATAAAATTGAGACTCACAAAATACTTACAGAGTATATATATATTTTTTTGTAAGTCACAAGTAATCATTTCATACATCAGCAGTATATTAGAAAATTTATATCTCACTCATTTCAGATTAAAAAACTATAAAATTAATGAGGTTATTTTACCTTAAATATCTACTTTTATAAAAATAAAAACAAAAATATGAACATAGGTTAGATACTCACAAATTTGCTCACGAGACATAAATAACCTCCACAGGTAACGAAACTGTCTTTTCTAACATCAATTTAGTAAAAAATAAAAATAAAAATCACAATTATTTCATCAAGAATCCAAGTTTAATAAAACTAGTAAAGAATTACTCCTAATTCATTCCTTCGTCCAAATAAAATATCTAAGTAATTTATTGCAAAAAAATTCCTGTAATTTTAAAACTTATAGTTTAATCCCTAAAAACTTTGTTTATTTGCAAAAAGATTATTTTTCCAAAACTTGATAGATTTTAGTTTGTATAGCATGTTTTATTCAGGTTTCTAAGTCATTTTTCAGAACTCAACGTAGTAAAAAATACTCCTTTACTTCTACCACTTATATGGTTAATTATTTTAAAATTTTAAAATCTATTTAGGATCAAAATCATCATATATTTTCACGCAAATGTTCAATCTTTTAAATTTGATCTCTTTAAAAATTTCATGTTCCTCACATGATCCCGGTGTCTAAGGTTCCAAAAATTTATTTCATATCACTTTCCATTTTTTTAAATTTTTTTTTTCCAAAATTTAAAATAAAAAATAATAGAAAACAATTTTATTTTTTCCAAAATTGTAACATTTCTTTAAAATTTACAAAAATCCCTTTTTATACCAAATCAAAGGGAGAATCACAAATTTCACACCATTATTACTGTAATCATGCATACAAATATTAAACAAAGATTAAAATTTATAGAAACAACGCTTGTTAAAATTATTTGGACCAGCTATTACTTAAAAAAAAACTAATTGTTTTATAACTTTTTTTAAAAAAATTAACTTATAGTCTTTAATTATTTTTCTATTAAAAATAAATATTTTAAAAAGAAGAAAATTTTTGAACCTTATAATAATAAGCTATCAGTTAGTTAACTTTTTTTTTTCTATTTTCTATTTAATATTTATATATATTATATTTTGATTAAAAATAATTCTTTTATACAATAAAAAAATAATAAATTATTTTAAAATCACTTATCACTTAAAAATAAAAAAATGAGTTATTTTTTAAAATTAATTATCAAAATAATTGATTATACATATAATTTATAATTATTAAAATAATTTAATTCTATCAACTAATGAAATAACATGCTAATTTTAAAATTTACAATAATTAAAAAATAAAAATTTTAAAAATACTAAAATAAAATTTAGTTATATTCGTACAAATTGAATACATAATTTTCTTATTTATGTGATAGTATACATCAAAGATCGTAGACCCTAAACCAAGAAGACACGTGTCCTGAAGGTCTTTGAACGGTTGCAACCTAAGTCCCACCAAACCTACTGACTAAATCCCTCAAAGCATAAGGAACCACAAGATAATGCAAACACTGATACACACCACTAACTTGGTGCCACGTGTCACGCAGATTCTCCTCCATCACCCATCTTACTTACAAACACACACTCTTCTTCTCAATACAAATTCCGAACTCCCAACTTCCAATAACCAAACATGTCGAGAGAATTAGGAGCCAACAACGCCCCCTCACGCGCTGTGATAACGTGTGAGGCGTGTGAGAGTGCTCCTGCAGCGTTTCTATGTAAAGCTGATTCTGCTTCTCTGTGCTGTTCTTGCGATGCTGAAATTCACTCTGCTAACCCTCTTGCTCACCGCCACAACCGCGTCCCTATTGTTCCCTCTGTTGGGGTTGAAGCTGTTGTTTATGGAGATGGCGTAGCAGAAGCTGCTTCATGGTTGTTGTATGATAATAGAAGTGGTGATGATGAGTTCTTCTTTGATGAGAATTTTGATGATAATCAATGCCATGAGTATGAGTTTGGGTTGAGTAGTGCTTCTCACCAGAGCTTTCAAGTGAATCAGATGAAAAATCAGGAGGCACAGCATTTTCCACTCGATGTGGAGTTTGAGTCCCCAAAACCTGTGCTCAGTTACAATGGTTCTCTTGGTCTAAGTGTAAGGCTCTTCTTTTTCATTATTTATTTCAAATATTAAAAATTAACTAATTATGCAATGTGACACACTATTAGCCTATTCTTTGGACATTTTTTAAGTTTCTTTATTTTAATCATTCAAAATTAATCAATATGATAATATATATAATTGTTTTTATTTTTATCTATATAGACATTCTTAAAATATATCCTAATTGTAAAAAAAAAAAAAACATAAAACCATCTAAAAAAATTAAAATTTATAAAATTACTTTTCGTATTGTTAATAAAATATACAATTTAAATAATTTATGCATATATTACAATTACATTAAATGCTTATAATTGATTGCATCATTAGATAAATTACCTACATCCCATGTTTATAAAAACCTAAGAATAATTTATTAAATAATAAAAAGTATATTTATTTTTTTCCTATCATTATTTTTATAAGAAGAATATTTACAAGTTCTATCCTTTTATCATGCCTTATTAATTCCTCTATAGGTTTTTATAACTTAGTTAAGCTTTACATCAATGTTGGCCCTGCCTATGCACCACCATGACTGTAACGTCTGATTTCCCTGGATTCCTAATTAACTTACATCTCTGAAGTTCAACTGATTCAATTAAATGGCTAAAACTTTCCAGGGCCACTGGAAAAAAAAGATCCTTCGATTAAACGTGATCTGTTGTAAAATGAGAAATTAAAAGTCAATTATTGGTTTCATCCACTTAGTAGCTATGGCTACTACAATATTGCTAATTAAATATCTTGAATTAACTTGTGTTCTCATAAACTTCTTCTATGCCTGACCCATTTCTGCGTTCTTGCTTTCATTGAAAAATCAGGCCTCAGTTTCATCAACGGATTATAGCATTGTGCCAGAATCAACAATCAGCGAGCTCTCAAATTCTCAAGGCACATTGGACCATTCTTCTGAACCTCCCAATCCCGTTAATTTGATGCCTTCTTCTCTTACTTACAGACAAGCTAGAGTTCTAAGATATATAGAGAAAAAGAAGACAAGAAAGTTTGAAAAGAAAATCAGATATGCTTCAAGGAAGGCCTATGCTGAGATTAGACCTCGTGTAAAAGGTCGATTTGCCAAGAGAAACAATACTGAAGCTGAAATGGACCACATATTCTCCTCAACTCTATTTACTGAAGCTGGATATAGCATCGTTCCCTCTTTCTGAATATATATATGATTAGTTTTTGTATAATCTATAATATTATCCTGCACAATGTTTGTTTTATGTACGTAGTCCTTAATATGCAGTCATTTAGATGATGATGCGGTTTGTAAATGTAGTACTGTATTCATATTAAATTATTAAATTGCTGTGTATTGTTTCATTACACAATTATGTTATATCTGCTAGAATAAGTAATGAAACATTGTTAAGTTAAATATTAAACCTTTGTGTGATCTGGTGCGATAGATCACAGTTGTCTTTTTGAACAACTAGCAGACTACCTAATAAGTTTGTTGATTAAATAAAAATATTTAATAAAATTAATTAATCAACTAACTATATTAAATGACATCTTTATGAATATAATAATATAATAGTTGTGTTATTATTATTATTATTATATTTATTAGGTAGAGTATATTTCACACAAAGTCATAAAACGTAAATTGATAAAATATACTCATGTAATATATTTTAAATGAGGGTATTAACTAAGGCAAGGTAAAAAGTTTTCATTTTTGTAAGTTAACAGAGACAAAATCGAAGAATTTTTTTTTGTACAATTCCTAACTTACAAGTGATACCTTACTTTAATAACTTACAAAATCAAAACTTTGAAGGTAGTAATTTTTTTAAAGAAAAGTTCTATACATAAATAAGTCTAATAACTTATTTTTAATACATTACTCTCCCTTAAAAAAATCATATATTACACTATCTTTCTTTCTATTTTAAGATTATATAACTCCATCTCCTAAGAAATTACAATGTATCACAATTTAATTCATTTTAAGCTTCCAGTAAATAACTGTTTGAAAAGAAATTATATATAATATTTTTTATTAAATTTATTTTTTTATCAATAGTTTGAATTTTTTTTGGTAAGCTCTGATTTCTTGAAATCTTTCGCTTTTTACCTATATCTATGAACATACATTTTTTATTAAATGTGAGAATTTTGAAAAATTTTGTTTTTATCATTTAATGTTGAGACAAGTCTGTAAAATTTTCATAACAACGACAAACGTTTATTGTTTCATAAAAATATATTGAGTTTATTATTAAAAATAAATTGTAAAATTCATTGGAAAGAAAATGTTTGTAAAAAATGTCAAACAAGTGTTTAACAATGTTTTAAAAAATTAAAATAGATTAAATTGTGATCTATTTTAATTTTTTTAAGAAGAAAGTGTTATATAATTTAAAATAAAAGAAAAGGCAACATATAAGCATCTTTTGAGAGAGAAAAATAATTTATTCTATTTTTAATTAAATAAATAAGTTAGTTTATAAGTTTATAAATTATCTTACCTAACACACGTAATAACTAATCCAATCATGAAAGTTTTCCTTAAATAGATAATCTTTATTGAAGAGTTAGAATATAATTCTAAATTAATTTAATTAAAATATTTTTCATTCTTTTTATAAGACATTGCTTAAAAAGTTTAGATAGGAATAAATCTAATTTTTTTTTTATACTTATATATATTCGTAACTAATAAGTAATTACTATTAAATATTTTTGAAAGAATATATATATATATATATATATATATATATGTATGTATTTTTATTTAATATTCACTTTATAAAATAAGAGAAAGATTATTAAAATGAATTTAGATCTCTCCTTCTGCTGGACCATATAGTCTTAGCAAATACATCATTTTGTCTCTCACTTGTTTAATTCTTATTTTTTTTTAATTAATTTCAGTTACTGAAATCACAGGTTGATATTTAATTCTTATCTTTCTTTTAAGACTTAATTATATTTTTAGTTTTTATAAAAGTAATATTTTTTGAGATAAGTCTTTAATACAATTTTTGTTAGTATTTAATATTTGTTCAAAACTTAAGAATTTAGTATTTATCGTTAACAGTATTCTATTAAATAATAAATTGAATAATAAAAATTCAAATCATTATTGACACGTCATTGTTATTTATATTGTTTTATTATTTAAATATTAATATTTACAAAAAAGGTCCATAAACAAATTTTCTTTTTCTACTTTCTTATTCTTTAACCTTCTTTTTCTCATGTGGGTAGTTGTTCTTGCAAATGATGATGGTAAAAATAGTTTTTTTGTATTATAAGAAATTGATAGCTAGCTGCTACATGGAAGGTATGTTAGAAAAAGAGAAGCCTTTGTATCCTTTGTAAGTATAACAATTAATCTATATGTAGTACAAACTTAATATTAACAAGATTATTTTCAATATTAGCAACCATTCAAATATAAACATAAAGAAAATCAACAAAAAGGATGAAAGAAAGAAAAGAAAGGAGAGATTTAAGGGAAATAGAAGTAAATAAATAATGAATGTTTTATTAAATTTGTTGTTTAGATATTCAGGTCATTTATTTATAGTCACCAACATTTAAATACATCCAAATTATATTGTAGGAGTGACGCTCTCATGGAACTTAGTTTTAACACAGCAACAAGGATTGTAGCAAATCTTAATGTCTTATTCCTTTTCATGTTGTCTCTGAGTAGAAGCACATAGTTCTTTGTTGTTGATGAGTTGTTCATTTTTGTGCAATTCTTTGACAATGGACATTGCTTTTCTCTATAGAGAGTTAACGTTCTTATTGCTTAATGGAACTCTCTTTATTAGTGATGACGCTTTATGCTTGTGGAAAACATGCGATGTTGTTGTTGGGCCAAAGTATGGTTAGCTGCATTTTTGCTAGCTCTTATCCTTTGTTCTTTTTGCCTCCCAAATACAAATATAATTTTTTCTTCTTCTTTGCTGACTCCCTATACTTAGTATGCCATTCTATCATATTTTATATATATTTTTTGCATAAGTGCACTTATCTCTTTCTTTTTTGTTTATTCAATTTTCTTGGGTTGACTTAGACTCAAATATATAATATTTGTCTTAGTATATTCTAACTCAAATAATTGCCCCTTTTGCCCAACTTTATTGTTTATTTTTCCAAAATTCAACTTTCCTTTTCACTCATAGTAGTTTGCCTTTTTCTCATTAACTTCCTCGTAGACTACCCTAGTAAGTGTAACACCCTTTTTTCATTTTTCGGTAAATTAGGTTTTGTTCAATATTAAGTGGTATTAGATTACATTTAGAAGGGAATATAAAAAATTTCTGGAGGAAATTTGGTGCAGGACTTCTCGCTCAAACGAGATATGCCTCGCTTAAGCGAGACAAATATTTTAGAATTGAACGTTATGGAGCAATCTCGCCTAAGCGAGGTAAGCTTCGCTCAAGCGAGAAGGGATAAAATTGCCTCAACTGTCCTTTCACTCAGGCGAGAGGGAGAGCTCGCTCAGGCGAGATGTCGCATAGAAATCTGGAACTCTCTGGACATGTCCTCGCTCAGGCGAGGATATTAGAAAACCGTTGTCTAATAAGCTCACTCAAGCGAGGTGTGCTCGCTCAAGCGAGAGCCTGTTCCCTCAAGCAAGATCGCGCGAGTTTGAAGAGTATTTAATGACTTCTACGTTGATAAATTTTATTTCTCACCAAAAACCATTTCTCTTCCTCTGATATCTCTATGTTCTCTCCCTTTCCCATTCTAGAGAAAACCCTCAATACTTTTGAATCTTTGTTGGATCGGAGCTCAAATATTTGTTCTTTTTTTATCTGAGTAAGTTTCTAGAGCTCAACTCTCATATCTAGTTTCTATTTCTCTGTTCTATCTCCTTCTAATACTAATATTCGATGATTTTAGAAAGAACTCTAATTCTTGGGATGTTTGACCGGGTGAAATGTAACGCCCCGAATTTTGGTGATATTAATTATTATTATTATTATTATTATTATTATTTTCGTATGTGTGTTGATTTATTTGATAATGATGTGTATGTGTATTAAGTAAATAGATGTGTGTGTGTGTGTGTGTGTGTGTGTGTATATGTGTGTGTGTGTGTGTGGATAAGGCTGAAATGGGTTAAGTGTCTAAGTGCAGGGGGTAATTCTGGGCTGTTCTCGCTACAGCGAGAGGGCCTTGGGAGAAAGGACCAGAACTGTCGCCTTCTTGTTGTAGCGAGAGACGTCTCGCTGTAGCGACAGACGTCTTGCTGTAGCGACAGAGCGACAGTTTGGGGTGCATTTCTGGGTACAGTCTCACTGTAGCGAGATTCTACAGAAACTAGAGTGCAGTTTCATATGAGATTTTCACTGCAGCGTGAAGGCGTGTTGCTGCAGCGAGGCTGTAGCGAGAGTGTCGTGACCAGAAAAGGATTTAAAGGGGGTTAGGGTTCGGGGAGGGTTATTTCTCCCTCTCCCTTCGAAATCCCTTCGATTCTCTCACTCCTAAACCTTATTCCACCAATTAAATTGCCTCCAAAGCCGTTCGAAAGCTTGATTGAAGGTTGAATTTGTGTGGAGTACGCTTGAAAGTGAGTTTTAATGGTTAGAGTTCCGTTTCTCATCCCCTTTTCTCTGTTTCTCGGTTTCTTGGGATTCTCATGGAGTTCTTCCATGTGTTTTAGGCTACAATCTGTGTAGGGAGCACGTTCATGGTCGAATCCGAGTGTGGGTCTTCAATCCAAGGTAAGGGGAGACTCTACCTATCTCAAATGCATTGTAATTCTTGTATGTTTTGCTAATTTATGCAATATGACTGAGATAGAGAATATGAATTATGTGTTTGATGGAAAATTGGTATACAATGTTATGTGTGCTAGAATAGTTAGGTCCCGTGAGGGTGATTGTGTGTGATAGAATATCATTGATTGGTGAATTAATGATATTGTGAATGAATGAAGGCTATGTGCCGTATATTGTGGATGAAATGTGGGTTATGTGCCATGTAGTATGAATTGAATATAGGTTGTGTGTCATGTGCAAGCATGAATATGCATGTGTGGATGAAATGTATGTGAATGGGGTGTGTCGTGCCGTTGTAATGTGCTGTGAATGATTCAGCGATACACTGGGGGTATAGGAGATGAGGACGGTAGAAATACCTTGGGGAATGAGGAGTGGTGGTTACACCGACTGTGGAACGGGTGTACCTCAGGCCACACACTCTCTTCCTGACTAGACTTCTGACCACTATCCTTGCTGAGTGACCTGTGACTGCCCATGTGGTATCCGTGAGGCGGGGGTAACCAGCGACTATTCATGGTATAAATCTGTGATCACAATACTATAGTGAGTGTGGTTGGTATGCGTATGCATGGATTTGTATTT